CTGTATTGCTATAAACTTCCCTCTTAGAAATGCTTTTGCTGCATCCCACAGGTTTTGGATCATCATGTTTTCATTGTCATTTGTCTCTAGGTATTTTTTGATTCCCTCTTTGATTTCTTCAGTGATGTCTTGGTTATTTAGTAACGTTTGTTTAGCCTCCATGTGTTTGTGTTTTTATATTTTTTTCCCTGTAATTTATTTCTAATCTCATAGCATTGTGGTCGGAAAAGATGCTTGATATGATTTCAGTTTTCTTAAATTTACCAAGGCTTGATTTGTGACCCAAGATGTGATCTATCCTAGACAGTGTTCTATGTGCACTTGAGAAGAAAGTGTAATCTGCTGTTTTCAGATAGAATGTCCTATAAATATTAATTAAATCTATCTGGTCTGTTGTGTCATTTAAAGGTCGTGTTTCCTTATTAATTTTCTGTCTGGATGATCTCTCCATTGGTGTAATTGAGGTGTTAAAGTCCCCCAATATTATTGTGTTACTCTCGATTTCCTCTTTTATAGCTATTAGCATTTGCCTTATATACGTATTGAAGTACTCCTATGTTGGTTGCATATATATTTATAATTGTTATATCTTCTTCTTGGATTGATCCCATGATCATTATGTAGTATCCTTCCTCGTCTCTTGTAACATTCTTTATTTTAAAGTCTATTTTATCTGATGTGAGTATTGCTACTCCAGGTTTCTTTTGATTTCCATTTGCATGGAATATCTTTTCCATCCCTTCATTTTCAGTCTGTATGTGTCCCTAGGTCTGAAGTGGGTCTCTTTTAGACAGCATATATATATATGTCTTGTTTTTGTATCCATTCAGTGAGCCTGTGTCTTTTGGTTATGGCATTTAATCCATTCACATTTAAGGTAATTATTGATATGTATGTTCCTATTACCATTTTCTTAATTGTTTTGGGTTTGTTTTTGTAGGTCTTTTTGTTTTCTTGTGTTTCCCACTTAGAGAAGTTCCTTTAGCATTGGTTGTAGAGCTGGTTTGGTGGTGCTGAATTTTCTTAGCTTTTGTTTGTCTGTAAAGCTTTTGATTTCTCTGTCGAATCTGAATGAGATCCTTGCTGGGTAGAGTAATCTTGGTTGTAGGTTCTTTCCTTTCCTCACTTTAAATATATCATGTCACTCCCTTCTGGCTTGTAGAGTTTCTGCTGAGAAGTCAGCTGTTAACCTTATGGGAGTTCCCTTGTATGTTATTTGTCATTTTTCCCTTGTTGCTTTCAATAATTTTTCTTTGTCTTTAATTTTTGTCAATTTGATTACTATGTGTCTCGGCATGTTTCTCCTTGGGTTTATCCTGTATGGGACTCTCTGCGCTTCCTGGACTTGGGTGGCTATTTCCTTTCCCATGTTAGGGAATTTTTCGACTCTAATCTCTTCAAATATTTTCTCTGGTCCTTTCTCTCTCTCTTCTCCTTCGGGGACTCCTATAATGCGAATGTTGTTATGTTTAATGTTGACCCAGAGGTCTCTTAGGCTGTCTTCATTTCTTTTCATTGTTTTTTCTTTATTCTTTTCCACAGCAGTGAATTCCACCATTCTGTCTTCCAGGTCACTTATCCGTTCTTCTGCCTCAGTTATTCTACTAATGATTCCTTCTAGTGTATTTTTCATTTCAGTTATTGTATTGTTCATCTCTGTTTGTTTGTTCTTTAATTCTTCTAGGTGTATGTTCTTTAATTCTTCTAGGTCTTTGTTAAACATTTCTTGCACCTTCTCGATCTTTGCCTCCATTCTTTTTCTGAGGTACTGGATCATCTTCACTATCATTATTCTGAATTCTTTTTCTGGAAGGTTGCCTATCTCCATTTGGTTGTTTTTCTGGGGTTTTATCTTGTTCCTTCATCTGGTACGTAGTCCTCTGCCTTTTCATTTTGTCTACCTTTCTGTGAATGTGGTTTTTGTTCCATAGGCTGTAGGATTGTAGTTCTTGCTTCTGCTGTCTGCTCTCTGGTGCATGAGGCTCTCTTTCTTCTGTTTTAAATGTAGGCATTTATTACTATAGACTTCCCTCTTACAACCGCTTTTGCTATATTCTATAAATTTTAGTATGTTGTATTTCTGTTTTCATTTGTCTCAAGATATATTTTGATTTCCTATTTGATTTCTTCTTTGATTCATTGGTTGTTCAGGAGACTGTTATTTAATCCACATATTTGTGAATTTTTCAGTTTTCTTCTGTTACTGATTTGTAGTTTCATAACATTATGGTGAGAAAATATACTTGATATTATTTTAATATTCTGAAATTGTTAAAACTTGTTTTGTGGACTAATATGTTATAAAGAATCCTAGAGAATATTCCACATGCACTTGAGAAGAATATGTATTCTGCTGTTGTTCAATGGAATGTTCTTTATTTGGATGTAATGTTCTTTATATGTCTGTTAGGTACACTTGTTCTACAGTGTTATTCAATTCCACTGCTTCCTTATTGATTTTATGTCTGGATCATTTATCCATTGATTAAAGTGTGGTATTAAAGTCCCCTACTATTATTGTATTGCTGTCTATTTTTCTCTGTAGTTCCGTTAATATTTGCTTCATATATTTAGGTTTTCTAAACTTGGGTGCATATATATTTATAATTTTATAGTATCTTGATTAATTGACCCCTCTATCATTATATAGTGACCTTGTCTTTTTTACCCCTTCACTTTTTTTTATAACTTTTTATTTTATGTTGGAGTATAGCTGATTAACAATATTGCGATAGCTTCAGATGCACAGCAAATCGACTCAGCCATACATATACACGTATCCATTAATCTATAGGTGTCCTTAAAGCTAAAGTGATAAGTCTGCTATTGAAGCTCTCTATTGAATATTTTCAGTTCTGTTATTGTATTCTTCAGCTCTAGAATTTCTGTTTGGTTATTTTTTTATGGTTTCTCTTTCTTTATTAAATTTCTTATTTTGGTCATTTATTGTTTTCCTGATTTCATTTGATTACCTATCTGTGTTATCTTGTACCTCATTGAGCTTCTTTAAGATGATTATTTTTAATTCTTTGTCAGGCAATTTGTAGATCTCTATTTCTTTCACGCTGGTTACTGGAGCTTTATTAGTTTCCTTTGGTGGTGTCATATTGCCTGATTCTTTGTGATTTGTGTAGCTTTGTGTTAGTGTTTGTGCATTTGAAGGAGCAAACACCCCCTTCCAATCTTTACAGACAGGTTTTGGCAGGTAAAAACCTCTTGTCAGGTCTGCAGGCTGATGGAATTGCCTCTGGGATCACAGTTGAGTGAGGTTGGAACAAGATCATGTGGTTGCTGCTGGGCCTGCAGCAGCATCTGTGGTTGGAAGGCCTTTTACCGGGGGCTCAGGTGGGCATAGACCCTGTCTGGTCCCTGGGAAAATGGAACTGCCTTCAGGACCTTGGTCAGTAGAGCTGGCACTGGGATAACAGTCTACTTCAAGGTCCACAATTGGGTTTGCAAATGGTAGGCCTGTTATCAAGTGTGTAGATGGGAGTGGCTCCCATCTGGCCCTTTGGAGGGCTCCCAGTGTCTCACTTGGTGAGTCCCTGAGTTGGCAAAACTGCTCCTCAACTGCAGTTTTGAGGTATGGAACTAGGTAACAGGGCCATTTCAAGATCTGTAATGGGACCAAGGTCTGCAGGCCAGTCACCAGGGGCATGAGTGGATGTAACCCCCAACAGGTTCCTGGGCAGGCAAGACTACTCCTGGATCATGGCTGGGAGAAAGATTGAATTAGCTACAGGGCTGCTTCAAGATCCACAGTCAAACTGAGGTCTGCAGGTCAGCCTCCAGGGTCATGGACAGGCGTGACTCCTCCTGGGTTCCTTATCAAATGGTGCTAGTGGCAGGACCAAGGTTAAGTGGGTCTGTAGCTGAGTCCATAAGGGGAGGAGGCTATTTCCAGGTTTGTAACTGAATTAGTTAGTGAACCAACCATCTGAGCATGGACTTGCCTTCTCAAAACAGTCCTCCTTGGTCTTGACTTCCACTGGGATTTTGCAAGTTCCTACTTTGATCCCAAAGCTCTCACAAAGGCACTTCTGTTTGTGGATGGCTGCCAAATTATCACTGCTGTGGGGGAATACAAGTGGGGGAATCTGCTATTCTACCTTCTTGCTCCCTTGACTTTTTAATTTAAAAATATCTCTTGGAGAACTTTTTATATTAGTAGTACAGAGAGAGTTTTTGCATCCTCTTTAAAACAGATGCATAGTATTCCATTGTATGGATGTACCATAACTTATTAATTTCCTATTGATGGACATTATGGGTTGTTTCCAATCTTTTGCTACAACAGTGCAGCAGTGAACATCCTGTACACATACCATTTCACCTGTAAGCAAGTGTATCTATATAGTAAATTCCCAGAGTGAGATTGCTGGATCAAAAAATATATGCATTTATAATTTTAATACACATTGCCAAATTATCCTCTAGAATGGCTTTTCCAATTCGCTCTTCCACCAGCAATACATGATAGAGCTTGTTTCCCGCAGCCTTGCCAATACATTATGTCATCTAAACTTGTGAGTCTCATAGGTGAAAAACAGTATTTGAGAGAAGTTTAATTTACATATTTCTCTTACTGTGAGTGAGCTTGAGTATTTTTCAAGTGTTTAAGAGCTATTTGAATTTCCAGCTTTCTTAATCCCACTCTCCCATTTCCTAATTTACGAAATAAATAAAAGCTGTTTCTAACTTGCGGCATTAAAGCAAAGCTCTTAGAAAGGTTTAACACAGTGCTTGGCAAAAGGAAGCATTCAAGAAGTGGTAGCTGCTATTATTATTGCTGTTGTTACTACTACTATTATTATTATTTTTCTGAGTTCTCTTGGTGAGTTTGGAGTAATCTCAGATTGTTTTGGAAAAGAAAACCTGAATGAGATCCAATACATGTATTACCATGAAAGCTGTCAACTCATGACCTTTCACCCCATGCATCTAGGACCCTATGGAAAATGTCTGGAATCTGCACGGTAGGAAGAACCCCTCAAACTCACTTGTCCATGTTTGCTGGTATTATAGGTGCATAGTCCCAAATGACTTCCTCTGCAGCAATGAAGTATTCCCATCTCTTAACGTGCCGCCTCTGGTCTCGAGTTAGTTTCTTAGGATTCCTGGTTTTCCTTGCACAGTTTTTAATGTCTATGTAAGCCTGCATCCCAGCTGAGTTAGGACATAAAGACAATGAAAGAATTTGAGAGAAGAAATTAAGGCTGATAAAATGTACCTCTTTAAAATAAATTTGTGGAAGTTTTCAATAATAACAGTGAAAGTAATGCTCAGGCAACTTTTGAACATTTTGGTTTGAAGCTCTTTTAATACACTGCAGAAGGAGCAAGAATAAAAAAGCAAGGGAAAGAGAGGATGAATTAGGGGAATAACTTGGAAAGCTATCCTTTGTTTCTTAACAGGGAGGAAAATTTCTTGAAATTTCCAGATCCTTAAAACCTTATGACTTAGGTCATGTCGATTTCTCATATTTCCTATAACCTCTTCCTTTTATTTGTAAAACGAAGATATTACTAGTATGCACTGTATGAAATTGTTCTTAAAAATTAAATAAGATAATACAGAAAGCACTTAACTTCAATAATGTTAGTTTTGCTATTGTTTCATTAGTATTTGGGGCTCTATCTTCCAGGGATATTGTGACAATTTCATTACTTCAAATATAATTTTGACTGCTTAGTGTGAACAAAAAATGAAATGATCCCATAAAGTGTCTCTTTTTTATATTTCTTGCTTTTTAATTAATTATTTATTTATTTTTGCGGTACACGGGCCTCTCACTGTTGTGGCCTCTCCTGTTGCAGAGCACGGGCTCTGGACACGTAGGCTCAGCGGCCATGGCTCACGGGCCCAGCTGCTCCGCGGCATGTGGGATCTTCCCTGACCGGGGCACGAACCCATGTCCCCTGCATCGGCAGGCGGACTCTCAACCACTGGGCCACCAAGGAGGCCCTATTTCGTGCTTTTATACACATTATTTTGGTAACACAATGATTTCCTATAGTGATATTTACTTATATTTACAGGAACCCTCCTCCTAACTGTTTTAAAGCAACAGTGTGTAATAGACCATTAGTTATTTTGTTTACCTGATACCATATAACAACCTAGGCTGATTTTTTCCCCCACTAGAATTCACTGATGTTCTTTAAAGCTCACCCCTCAGCTGGTTAGATACTGTGTTTTTTCTATTCAACACACATCCACTGAGTTCCTCTTTGGGTCAGGCTCTGTGCTCATCTTGTTATGAAAGACAATTTTTTCATGTTAAAACTTTTACACTTTCTGTAACTTGGTGCTTCTATAAATTTACAGAAGTTTGACCAGTTCCAACACCTAGTTCTTTTCCTTTAGCTGCATATTAAATAGCCCAAGAAAGAATATCTCTATGTATGTTTTTGTTTCCTTCCTCCTTTCTCCTTTTAAGGAAGTAGAGACCTCTTCAGCTTTTGCATCACTTTAAAAAGTCTTTGTCAATTTCTCTACTTCCTCCATCCCCAACTAACGAGCTATAAGTCTAAGAGCAAAGTATCTATATTCTGTTCTCAAGGACTAAGGAATGTATGTCTGGAGTGTGGGTGGCTTGCAAGAGCAAAGGAAAATGAGGGATTTAGTGCCTAGGACGAAAGGATCCTACATTTGTAAGCAAGACTGTTGAAAGAATTTCTTGCCTTGAAAATGTTTTGGGATGAGCGAAGATATGATCCACTTTCCCTCTAGGCTCACGGTCATGTTTGCAGTTGTGGACGTAGCACTGACGAGAGTGATGGCTGAGATCTTATGACGGCTCTGCTCCAGGACCTGGCCGTTGAAATGAATGGAGAACAGTTCTGGCCCAGAGCTCATTCCAATCAGATGCCAACTGATGTGGTCATGGGCACAAACTGTTATATCTGAGGGAGAGAGAGAGAGAGAGATGGGGGCCAAAACAGTCAGTCAGCAGTCTGTGATAACAAATTCACTCACCAGATACGTATTGAGTGCCTGCTTTGCATCAGGCATTGTGCAAGATTCTGGGGGTATAGACACTCCCATTTTCATTCCTGCCCTAGAAAAGCAGACATCCGAGTGGTGGGCAAACAAGCAGTCACAACTCATTGCAATAAGTGGTATTATAGAGCCCAGAGAGGGGGGACATTAGTTTAGAAACACAGGGATTGCTAAGGCCAAGGAGAGAAGAAAGTAGGTGACCAACCATCCTGGTTTACCGAGGACTGAGGGGTTTCCCAGGAGGCAGGATTTTCAGTGTTAGAACTGAGAAAGTCCTGGGCAGGCCTGAGTAGTTGGTCACTCTAGTACCAATCTGGACTCAGCTGGAGGGAGTTGCCAGAGCCTCCAACAGGGCTGAGTTTAAGGGCCTAAACCTCTAATCCTAAAAGGGCTTGATCCTAACAGGAAGAAGATGTGAAGATGCTTTAAGGATTTTATACTGTTTCTTTGCCCACTGGTTGATTGTTTTAATGACAAGGCAGTGAATTACTGTGTGGGTTATAGGATCTCCTTAAAATGCAGTGGACAAATCCTCAGTGTACTGGGTCACTGGGAGCGTTTCATGGATGGAGTAATGAGAACTGAATACAAAAGCTGTCTGGCTCCTTCTTGCTCCCACAGTGACTCAGAAAATGCTGATTTGCTCTATGGGAGATTCCAACCTCTGGCTTCTATCCTTGGCTTGGGTTTTAAATTTCAGATCTATAATCACTCCATACTAGACCGTGGGGCCATGAATCAGTCCCTTACCCAAAGAGGGGCTAAGGGCTTGTCTTGTTCAGACCATTGTAACAAGACCAATTCCTAGTATCACAGGTGAGAACAAGAAGCTGGAAGGTAGGAGGCTTTGGTGGAAGAATTTGTCTGCCTCCAATCAATGCATATATTGGGTTGAGCATTTCATACATCTGTATTAGTGTTTATCATATTCATTCAATTTATACTGCCCCATAAGGCAGTTTTACAAGCATTAACTTTTCTCAGTTTCTACTACCAGCTACTTTTGACCCCAGCTACTCTGTCTTTTTCAACTATAAATTCATAAATTCTATGCCCTGATAGAGTTATTAATTTTTATTTTTTCATATGGGTTATTTTGGCTTCTCCTTCTCTATATTTAGACGGATGATTTACTTTGCCAGGAAACAGATACAATTTCTCTTTTGACCACTCCCCTCTAAGGCCCATAGTAGATAACATGCTATGTTATCTGTAAAAAACTTCTTAAACACCCTCTGCACCAGGATAGATGATTAACCCATTTTTTTACGAAAGCACGTTGAAACAACTAACTGCTAAAAGCCACACTAAGGTAGAGAAGTGAGCAAGGTGTGAACTCAGATGTGCTAACTCAGTTAACTAAGTTTTTAAACTCTGAATCAAAACCCAGGGTCACGCTTCCCTGGTGGCGCAGTGGTTCAGAGTCCGCCTGCCGATGCAGGGGACACGGGTTCGTGCCCCGGTCCGGGAAGATCCCACATGCCGCGGGAGCGGCTGGGTCCGTGAGCCATGGCCGCTGAGCCTGCGCATCCACAGCCTGTGCTCCGCAACGGGAGAGGCCACAACAGTGAGAGGCCCGCGTACCGCAAAAAAAAAAAAAAAAAAAACCCAGGGTCATCTTAGTATATTTGTAATGACCTGGGTGGGAAGATAGAATCAAATGAAACGGAATACAACTTAAAAGCAATGTCCAGACCTCAACTCATGACAAGTTTTATTTTTAGTAAGAGAAGCCATTTGTGATTTTCAGATATAGAAAGCAGCCTCTGAGAAACTTAGTGTTTTGAAGCATAGTTTATTTAATAAAGTAATATTTTCATTTTCCCCATTTTTCCCCCACAGGATCTTTGGTTCTAGGTCTTTTCTGTCAGAGAGAAGTAGAAGTGGTTTAGGTGGGGATCAGTTTTTTTTTTTCTCTTAACAACTGTTATGATTTTGCTTTTTCACAAGAGTCTACATGTAAATGAAAAGAGAAAAACATCCCATATGCCACTGAATATTACTCATCCATCATCTTTTGAAATGCTAGTAGTATTGTTGTATGTTGGATATTTCTCCTAATCTCCTGTTCATCTTCACTGTAAATGTCTTCATTGCATTCTTCCTGCTGACCCTTCCTGCTGAGGACTGGCCTTGAACTCTGTTTTGTAGGGCTTCCTCTCTGGAAGAAAACATGGTCACCATGCAGCAGGGACCACATAACTCACTGAAGGAGACTAAACTGATATCCTGGATGTCTTCCTGGAGATGTAGGCCAAGGTGAAACCTGCTCAGAGCACTACATGTAATAAGACTGCACACTCCTTCTCTTAGGTAGCTTCTAATTTGTCTGTTGTACTTGTTAGTTAAAAAAAGCAAAAAAAAAAGATTAAATCTTGAGAACCACTGAATTAGATTACATTACCTTTCAGATTAGGAGTTAATAAATAGAGTATGGTCAACTACCCTAGTGCCTTTAGGAAGACAACGGGATCAGTGCTTCAACTATTTTTGGATAGTGCACAGCCCACGTGTTACCTGGCATTGTCCCATTCACATAGCCATTGACTGTGTACATTAGGGATGATGTCTGGTTCCAGCTTTTACTTTCATCAAACACAGCAAACATCAGTACGTGTTGCTTGTCAAACATCTTCTGTATCCCATCCTCAGTTAGGGTGCCTGTGAAAAAGACATACTTTTAATAGCATCCCAGATAGAAGGCTCTCATTAGCTATTCCTAGATAACAGAGTTTAAGAGAAGCAGCCAATCATAATGATGTCAACTGTAAAGTGTTCTTATAAAAATAGCATCTATCAAGTAATAATGATTGAAGGCTTATTAAAATCCTGGTGCCACCTTGTTTTTTTCTGGCACCTGATAGCCTTGAGGAATGGGGCTTTAAAAGTAAATTTTATCTGGCACAGAGAGAAAACATTTGGTGACTGTCAAGGCTTTAGTAAAAGTATCCATTTCTTCCAGTGTCAGTAAGTCAATGCAGGGACTTACCTGGTGGTGCAGTGATTAAGAATCCACCTGCTGATGCAGGGGACACGGGTTCGAGCCCTGGTCTGGGAAGATCCCACATGTCGTGGAGCAACTAAGCCCATGCACCACAACTACTGAGCCTGCACTCTAGAGCCTGCGCACCACAATGAAGAGTAGCCCCCGCTCGCCGCCAACTAGAAAAAGCCTGTGCACAGCAACAAAGACCCAACACAGCCAAAAAGAAATAAAGAAATTTATATTAAAGAAAATAAGTTAATGCATAGGTACCGTAGCTCTTTTGGTAAACGCATCACACTCCAAGTTTAATATAGCCATCTTGCTAGTACATGTAATGGGACGCTAGAGAATTGGTTGAGAGGGTCAAGATTAACCCACTCTCATGAGTAAAAAATGCACCTGATAGTAAAATGAAAGAAGAGACTTTTATAAGTTTAAAATTTTTTCGGTGTCATCACAGTATCTTCTATACCAGGCAATGAAAATATGTATTTGTATAGTGAATAAATGAATTAGGAATGTATGTAGGTATGGTATGCATGTATGTATAGACAGATGGTGAATCCATCACATTATCTCCCACAGTGCAGTTTGTTGTGGTTGTTTGTTTTAATGAAAGATGGGATGAATTTGTTTGGGGTAAAATAAAAGTCCAAGCTTGCTCCTAAGAATCCCAGCCAATGAAATTTCTTATAAAGTCAGTTGAGTGTGTTTGAAACCTACCACTCAAAGTGTTCAGCTTGTTTACAAGAAAGGAACCTGGAGTTTTGTGTATTTATAGACCAAATTACCAACCCAAACCTCAGATATATTACTCAAAGTTCTTTCCAAGTACTCTCAGCAGAGTACGGACTGCTGTATACTTTCAAAAAGACTTGGCCTTGAGGTAAATGTTACGGATCATATGGGCATGGCAGCAGAACACACTCTCAGACAGAGATTTACTTGGGAGAGACTCCCAGGACCGAGAGGAAGGAGGGGTTTAAGAAACAGAGGAAGATTGCAAATCCTCAAATATCAGTGTCAAATGATGATCTGATTTCTGCACCCTTCTCTGCTTGATTTACGAAAAGATACCAAGACACTCCCAAGCCTCATTCCATTATAGTATCTTTACCAATCCAACATCTTTGCTCTTTTGATTTTTTTTTTTTTTTACCTTTCTTACAAATAAGCAGAGGTCCAATCAGTCCAGAGTTGAAGTCGTGTACCAGATTTTCATAGGAGTAATAGATATATGTGAGGCATGGAGGGTCATCGTGGGTGGGCCCACTGTCCTCACTGATATTCCACTCATAGGTATATTCTTGGCCCGGAGCTACAGAATCATCCATCCTCTCCACAGGGAATGTGTGGTCAGGGTAAGAAGCACCTGGAGACGTAAAAGCTTTGAAAACATCTGGATAGTTTCTGAGAACAACTTTTTCATCACTCTCAAGTCTGGGGGAACATAAGTTCTCTATGAAGATATATATGCCTTTCTATAGGAAGCCTTCATTATTTGGAAAGATTCACATATATCCACTTCTATGTCTATGTAATTATAAAGGCTTTGATCCATGGTGATCTGAAGTGAACAAGAAATGTTACTAGTACATTATTTAAAGTTTAGCAAGTTAAGTTTCCAGAGTATCTAAATAATTATTATTTAAATATAATCAGATAAGTGAATCACCTTTGACCAGAAAATCATCTCAGAATATGAAGATGGGTTAAATCTTCTCTGTGATGTATGACAAGACATTTTTTTTCATTTTTAAATTTTTTATTGAAGTACAGTTGATTTACAGTGTTGTGTTAGTTTCTGATATACAGCAAAGTGATTCAATTATATAGCTATATCTGTATCTTCTTTTATATATTATTTTCCATTATCATTTATTACAGGATATTGACTATAGTTCCCTGTGCTATACAGTAGGAGCTTGTTGCTTATCTATTTTATATATAGCAGTTTGTATCTGCTAATCCCAAACACCTAATTTATCCCTCTTCTATCTCCTTTCCCCTTTGGTAACCATAAGTTTGCTTTCTATGTCTGTGAGTCAGTTTCTGTTTTGTAAATAAGTTCATTTGTGTCATATTTCAAATTCCACATGTAAGTGATATCATATGATATTTGGCTTTCTCTGTCTGACTTACTTCACTTAGTATGATAATCTCTAGGTCCATCCATGTTGCTACAAATGGTATTATTTCATCCTTTTTATGGCTGAGTAGTGTTCCATTGTATATATATACCACATCTTCTTTATCCATTCATCTGTCAGTGGACATTTAGGTTGCTTCCATGTCTTGGCTATTGTAAATAGTGCTGGTATGAACATTGGGGTGTGTGTATCTTTTCAGATTAGAATTTTGTCCAGATATATGCCCAGGAGTGGGATTGCTGGATCATATGGCAACTCTCTTTTTGCCTCTTACTGCTGTGGCCTCTCCTGCTGTGGAGCACAGGCTCCGGACACGCAGGCTCAGTGGCCATGGCTCACGGGCCCAGCCACTCCGTGGCATGTGGGATCCTCCCGGACCGGGGCACGAACCCGTGTCCCCTGCATCGGTAGGCAGACTCCCAATCACTGCGCCACCAGGGAAGCCCTATTTTTAGTTTTTTGAGGAACCTCCATTCTGTTTCCATAGTGGCTGCACCAATTTATGTTCCCACCAACAGTGTAGGAGGGTTTCCTTTTCTCCACACCCTCTTCAGCATTTGTTATTTGTAGGCTTTTAAATGATGCCATTCTGACTGGTGTGAGGTGATATCTCATTGTAGTTTTGATTTGCATTTCTCTAATAATTAGCAATGTTGAGCATCTTTTCATGTGCCTATTGACCATCTTGTATGTCTTCTTTGGAATAGAAGTGTCTATTCAGGTCTTCTGTCCATTTTTTGATTGGGTTGTTTGGTTTTTTTTGTTCTTGTTGTTGCCGTTATTGAGTTGTATGAGCTGTTTGCCCATTTTGGAGATTAAGTCCTTGTTGGCCACATCGTTTGCAAATATTTTCTCCCAGTCTGTAGGTAAGATATCTTATACTTAATCACCTGTTAGCATGGGTTTAAGTGGTTATAAGAACACTCAGATCTGTTTATATATTGCTTTGCTCTGCATTTCATGTCTTCTTTCCACCTGATGCCACCCTTAGCCCTGTTTCATCAGTTTATCACATCTCCACCATCTGATTATCCCAACTCTTTCCCCAGAGTCTTAGAGTCTATCCTATATGCAGTCTAATTGTCCTTGTATAAAATATATCTACCGTCTGAAGTTTACATGCCTTACTTTGGTCCTTTGTGTACCCAAAGGCCCACTAGTAACACTTGCATGTGTATTCAACTTTCCCTGCTGGTGGGAGACGGGGGAGGATATAGAAATGGTCTTCCTTATTGAAGAAAGGGAACTGTGATGCTGAAGAGTAAAAGCAGTGCAGAGGGTTGGGTGGGGCTTTCAACAACAAAGAGAAGATGTGGCAAGAGATGGAGCAAGCGAGGTCAGGAAGGGCAGAGGTCGTTGTCATAGATAGCAAGTGGGAAGGGCGGTTTCTTCTGAGGCATTCCTCATTTAATCAGGTGAAAGTTTCACATCACTCGCTGGTGCCAGAATTTCTCTTTAGGATACAGTTATCTTTGTTTAGTACAACAGTCAATAAATTTCTTGAGGTGGAAGGTAAGACCATCAGACTGTAGATGTGGGTAGAAAATAAGGATCAGAAAAAAGGGCTAAAATGTTTTACATAATGGAGTAAAGGGCCAGTGGAAACTACTCTTACTGAAGTGACTGTAGTTTTTGAAAACAAATGGTTAGTTTCTTTTCTTCCCTTCCCTCCTCCCTGTTCCTTTTCTTCTCCTCTTTATTCCTCCCCACTTCTTTCTCTCACTCCGTCCCACTTCCTTTCACCATCTTTATTAAGGTATAAATTACAAACAATACAATTCACCAGTTTTAAGTACAGTATTTGCTGAATTTTGACAAATAAGTACAGTTCTACAGCTACCATCACTATTGAGGTACAGAAGATTTCCATCACTTTGTACTTTGTACTTTGAGGTACAAAGTTTCCATGTGCCATTTGTAGCCATACCTTCCCCTATTCTCTGGACACATGCAACCACTGATTTACTTTCTGTCACTATGCTTTACTTTCCTGTATTGTCTATTGTCATATAAATGGAATGACACATCCATTGTGTTTGATTATAGTTAGTTAGTATGGTATACCTTCAATCCTTTTTTTTTTTTTTTTGCGGTACGCGGGCCTCTCACTGTTGTGGCCCCGGACGCGCAGGCTCAACGGCCATGGCTCACGGGCCCAGCCGCTCCGCGGCACATGGGATCTTCCCAGACCGGGGCACGAACCCGCATCCCCTGCATTGGCAGGTGGACTCTCAACCACCGCGCCACCAGTGAAGCCCCAATCCTTTACTTTTTATCTTTGTCTTTAAAGTGGATTTCTTGAGTTCAGCTTAAAGTTGGGTGTTGCTTTTTATTCAATCTTGAAATCTCTTAGTTGTCATGTTCTTCCCATTTGCTTTTAATATAATTATTGATATGGTTGGGTTTAAATCTACCATTCTGCTATTGTTTTCTATTTGTCCATCTGGCTTTTATTCATTATTTTCTTTTCTTTCCTACTTTCTTTTGGATTAATTATTTTTTATGTTTCCTTTTATCTCCACTATTGGTTTATTAGCTTTGCTTTGTTTTATTGGCGATGCCCTTCAGCTTACAAAATACAACTTTAACTTATCATAGTCTACCTTCAAATAATCTTATACCATTTTACTTATATTATAAGAAACTTGCAATAGTATATTTCCATCTTCCCCCTCCCAGCCTTTGTGCTATGGTTGTCATCCATTTCACTTCTACATATATAACATACCCCATAATAAACTGTCATTATTTTTTGCTTTCCAGTTTAGATAATTAGCTATCTTTTTCAGAGATTAAAAATGAAGAAAAATTACTCCATACTTACCCATTTCTGGAATTTTTATCCCTTCTTGTGGCCCCAAATATCTCTCTGATATAATCTTTTTCTGCCTAAAGTACTTCTTTTAACATTTTTTTTTCCTGGTCTGCTAATGAGAAATTGTTCCTGCTTTGTATGTCTAAAACAGTCTTTATTTTGCCTTCATTTTAAAAGGATATTGTTCCTTGGTGTAGAATGTCAAGTGGACAGATTGTCCCCATCCCCCCACACCCAGTACTTTAAAGATGTCCCTAGCTATCTTCTGGCTCGCATTGTTTCTAATGATATCTGCTATCATTCGATTTTTTTTCCGCTGTGACTTTATTTTAAAATTAATTAATTAAATTTATTTTTTGGCTGCATTGGGTCTTCATTGCTGCACGCAGGCTTTCTCTAGTTGTGATGAGCAGAGGCTACTCTTTGTCGCAGTGCGCGGGCTTCTCGTTGCAGTGGCGCCTCTTGTTGCAGAGCATGGGCTCCAGTAGTTGTGGCTCATGGGCTATAGAGCGCAGGCTCAGTAGTTGTGGCACACGGGCTTAGCTTCTCCACAGCATGTGGGATCTTCCCGGACCAGGGCTCGAACCCGTGTCCCCTGCATTGGCAGGCAGATTCTTAACCACTGTGCCACAAAGGAAGCCCCCTCTCTGTGACTTGTTTCCTCTGACTGTTTTTAACATTTTCTCTTCATCATTGGTTTTCAGCAATTTGATTATGATGTGCCTTGGTGTGCTTTTATTCACGTTTCTTCTTCTTGGTTTTGTCAAGCCTCCTGACTTTGTAGGTTTATAGTTTTCATCACAGTTTGAAAGTTTTCAGCCACTATTTCTTTGAATATTTTTTTCTGTCCCTTCCTTTTCTAGGATTCTAATTACAGTTTACCCTTGAACAACATGGTTTAAACTGTGCAGGTACACTTATATGTGGGTTTTTTTCAACAAATATGTACTAAACCATCCATGGTTGGTTGAATCTGCAGATGCAGAACCACAGATATAGAGGACAGACTAAAGTCACACATGGATTTTCGACCGTGTGGAGGGTTGGTGCCCCAATCCCCACATTGTTTAAGGGTTAAGTGTACACATATGTCAGATCACTTGATATTGTCCCATAGTTCACTGAAGCTCTGTTCATTTTGTTCAGTCATTTTATTTGCATGTTTTATTTTGGATAGTTTCTATCATTATGTATTAATGTTCTCCAATATTTCTTCTCCAGTGTCTAATGTGCTGTTAATCTCATCCAGTATACTTACCGTTTCAGCTATTGTATTTATCTATAGAGGTTCCACTTATGTTTTTTTTTTTTTAACATTCCATCTCTCTCCTCATCATGCTCATACTCTTCTCTACCTTCTAAAACATATGGAGAATATGTATAAGGGCTATCTTAATGTCTTTGCTT